ACACTGCAAAGTAACAATTAATCTCAATTTTTCTTATGTTGTCGATGTTGCAAGGTCCTAAGGATGCATATGTGCCAGTCATGAATTTTATTGTTTTTTCCTTACGATAGTAGCATTAACCCAATCATAGCAACATATTTTGCATTGTGACACTGTGTTACCATGGCAACAATGAAAGTTATTTTTAGAATAATATTGCCAATACCTATTTACATGAGGTCAAATATTTTTCATTGTTTTTCTTACGTTGTTGATTGAGTTTGATCATGTAACATCTATCATTTGTGACTAAGAGCGTTTTTCAGCATTTTTCAGCATCTAAAATGTATTCCAAATGTACCCATGGTCACCACTTACTTAGAGATAAATTCTAAATAGTTTCTTTATAGCATAAGTGGCAACAAGGTGTCATGTTTTTGGGAGAATGGTTCGTTTGTTTTTCTTAGTCTTTATTAAGGCTTAATAAAGATTTAAAGTAGCTGAAAATCTCAATTTTTTCAACTTTTCTGGCTGTTACCATGGCAACCAAGACACATAGCAACGAAATTTTATTTGATATATGTTTCTGGTGTCAAGTTCTAATAATGGGCAAAGTCTCATCAAAATTGGTGACCATGCGTGGCAAAGTTTAAGTGGTTACAGAGAATCGCTATTAATTTCTTATAAATCAGTAAACTTCCTGTTTCTTAGCTTATTAGAGCTTATTAATTAAGAGTTGAAAAAAAACTTTCAAGCCTAGAACCCCAACTTTTCACCTTGCATTTTATTCCAAATTTTTTTTTCTCAATAATTCACTCATAAGTTGTTTTTTTTTCAAACTTTGAAATTAATATACTGTAGATGAATTTGTACAAAAAATTTAGCCTAAAATTCAACTAAAACTGTCCAAAAGGGACAAATACCCCCCGCTGGGTTTTTCAGAGAAGGTACCAAATCACTAATGTTTTCTAGATGTGAGAGGTGTTCACAATTTGCTTAAACATTTAGAGTGAAAATTTAATTACTCATTATATTTTTTTTAATGAATGAAACTAAGGTGCAGCCTAATAAAACATCAATACTAGTAATTACAGTGTTTTTTATTACATTGAAAAAATAGTTTGCAACTATCTTTCATCTTTATGAGACATGACACTCTGCAAATTGATTGTTGAAAAAAAATATCATAATTAATTATACAAAATCAAATTGATCTTAATACCTTTATATCAAACTCATTTTAAAAATAAAAGGCTGGTTCCGGTAACTATGTATTTTGACAGACATAAATTACAATTAAGAGACTTAGACAACAGAGACCTTTATTTCTTTCTGCCCAATTCCCAGGAGATATAGATAAGACCTGCTTGATCAGAGATGCCCTGACAGCTTCCCACACTGAACTCATTAATTAATCTTTAACTGGATGCATGTCCACTCATTACTCCCAAGGGACAAATGCATTTACGCTATCTGCTGTGTAATGTAAAAACTGTTTTTAATACTTTGTGATTTTTTTTTAGTTCTAATGAGTAGTTTTAAGCTGTAGTTCACATTTTGTACAGATGTTCTAGATTCTATGTCTCAAACATTAGACATGAACCCGAAATGACTAAGTCAATAAAAATGAAAAAAAAAAAATTGTAAAATGCAGAAAAATTATCAAATAATGTTGAAAATACCAGGTGCACATCTTCATATGGTAAATAATAAGTGTACAAATTTTCATACAAATCTATGCAATAGTCCCTGGGAACAGATCCAGACAAAACCCCATAATAAAAATGAAAAAAACACCTGTAAAATGCAAAAAAATTATCCAATCATGATGAAAATACCAGGTGCACACCTTCATATGGCAAAAAATAAGTGTACAATTTTTCAGAGAAATCCTTGCAACAGTTTCCATGAAATGATCCGGACAAAATCTCGTCTACAGACAGACAGACAGACAGACAGACGGACAAGCTGATTCCAATATACCCCCCCCCCCCTAAACTTCGTTTGCGGGGGGTATAATAATCTGTTAGGAAGAGTTATCTCTTAATTTTCATCCCTTAAGGGGATGAAGGACTCATGGTCACATGACTCTGTTTAACTACGTCATAGTCTCTGATAATATGACTCTGTTTAACTACGTCATAGTCTCTGATAATATAAGTGCAAAACGTGTTAAGCATCGGTTCTTGTGTAAATTTTTAACAATATTTTTTACTTTAATTATATAAAAAAAAGTTTTAATATTCTTTTAAACATGTACAAATTATGAAAAGATTGATCCACTCCACTGTTTCCCTAAACTGCGCGTCCAACAAGTCTATGACGTCATACACGATCTGTTAGTACAGCAAGATCATACTCGGTGAATACAGGGGCAGTATTATTATGTAAAAACAGGTCATAATCAGTATATGATGAAATATTTTTGAGAAACGGGGAACACAAAAATTATTTTCGCATGGCTGATGACAGAAATCTTATGCAGGTATATCTTATTTCGCTTATTTAGCTTACGTGTGACGTCATAATTGGTTTTTACCGTACTCGTGAAATCTAAACATGACACGTTTTTGTCATGCTTATGTCCTCTTTAACGATGTCCTGTGCAATATGGAGGCCAACTTCACCATTCGAAGTTTTTACTTTTCAATAATTTAAAGGATTTGCATTTCAATTATAGTTCTATATATAGAGAAAGACAATTTCTTTTTCTTTTTTTCATTTTCGGCAGCTTTTTTTTAGGCCTACAGTATTAATTTTGGACTCATGTACTAGGGATATCATATCTTAAGCAGAATTGAGCCACTGAATTAAAGGGAACTCTTTTTTTAGGTGCACATGATGCAACTTCCTAGATGGTGTGTAGGCTGTTTGTCAAAATGTGAAACCCACGTGTATTTTGGGGTAGATATGTTTACTCTCGATTTTCTTTCTTAAAAGCCGCAAAAGGCGTATTTTTTCTGATCTCAAATTTTTTCTCAGCATTAATTTTTATTTTCTCTTTCATGATTTATCTGCTGAGAGTCTAGTTAATTAATTTATTTAATTAAAGCTATATAAATACATGTAGTGAAATTATTTGCTTGTGCGGGACCTTATAGAACTGGGGAAATTCCTTAAATCTTAAGCGTTTGAAAGACTAAGATATAAACTACCATGGGCTTACTCGACTGGCAGTTCCTCCAGGGAGAATTAACGGAATTCCAAACGAGCGGATCGGAATCGCTGCTCTGGTACCGTTGGAACAGTTCCTGCCAGATAGGTGGTGCAGACGGAATCAAAATGGCGGAAAATCATCAAACGATATATCGCATACATTCTTGCTCCCGTTGCAATATGATATTCCCTTCGATGCAGAAAAAAGAACATTCGTTAAACTGGTCATTTAGACAATTTTCCGGTAAGCATAGATTTATTTTTGTTGACCGAAATAATGCAAAGTCAGTACAAATTGTACCGTTATAATGATATATGTATATATATATAAATAAATATATATATATATATATATATATATATATATATATATATATATATATATATATATACATTCAGAAGTAGTCAATTAGGGGGTTCAGCCCCCTCCCCCGTTTCTAATTGTTTTTCCACCTTCGACCAGCTGGCCAGTGAGGATTTCAACAGTTCAAGGCATCTCTGAAACTCCCACCTGACTACAATAAACACATGCACATGAATTAAATAAACTATATAAAGTTATTACATTTATGTAGTCTAATAAGTTAATCTTTTTTATGTTGCTACAGGTGCCTTTCCTGATATGACAATTGTTGGGACAGCAATCTGATTAAAATCAGCTGTTCTGATACGCTACCGCTCACGAACATCTGAATCAACTCGTTTGGAGGTCACGTCCGAACGACCTGAAAATCTAAATATTTAAAAACCAGGTCATGACCTTTTGGACCAATGAAAATGCACGTTTCTTAATCAGTATCGGGAGAAGACAGAAAATGGCGGCGGATTCGATTAAAAAAGTGTTAAAGTTGTTTAACATCACAAACATAAAGGAAGAGCAGAAACAGATCTTAAATTTGCTTTTAAAAGGAGAGGACTGCATAGCAGTATTGCCCACAGGTTACGGTAAATCATTGCCGTACCAGATGTTGATCCCTGTAAGAAGAGAAATGAACACCGACGACAACAGTAAAGTCATCGTATGCTCTCCATTAATTGCCTTAATGCGTGAGCAGTGCGAAAGGTTAAACAGTATCCCGGGCATAACGCTGTTTACAAAGGTTTGTTGACGGTTTTTAAACTTTAGTTAATGAGGGAACATTGAGCTATTTTCACTTTACTCTTTAGTACAACTGTACATGTACATGTAGATCTATATGAGACCCCAATCCTCCCCATAGCCCTAGGCCAAGTATGGTAATTTGTTCTGTCTGTGTTACAATCTCAAAACGTAAGTTATTTGATACCCCCAGGTGCATAAATTTGATGAACCATACTCCTTGACTTATGACATATTTAAATGATATCTACTGGGCCATGTTTTAAAACATAAAAATTATTTAATATGAGCAAGAACACAATGATGATCCATTTCAATTGCTCATGAAAACATAATTTTTACAAATAAAATGGAATTAAATTTTAATACAATTTAATAAATCATTTTTTTTTCTCTATAGGTGGCAGTCAGGATAATGACAAAATAGATACACGCAGCTTTGACTACCTGTTTGCCTCACCAGAATATCTTGTAGGTGATAAAACTTTCCGTACCAGACTAGAGAAATTTAATGTGTCCACTATAGTTGTGGATGAATTCCATACAATTTCAACCTGGTAAGCATAAACATTCTTATTATGCATGTATAAAAAAAAACTGAAATTTAAATTAAAGAACACCTATTATTAGAATGTTTTAAAACCAGACAATTAATTTCAAATTCAGAGTAAGTGAACATTCTTTAGAAATTGAAAATGGTAGACAGATTAACCAGAGATCGCACAAAATACAGGTAATATGTGTTTTAAATTTTAGGGGGAAGAGGAAGGCAAACAAGCATTTCGAAAATGGTTTTCACATATTGGAGAACTGCGGTCGATTCATCCAAAGGGATCTATTCTTGCTCTAAGTGCTACATGTACGAAAAAAATTTCGAAAAGAGTGTCAAAAATCCTTGAACTGCAAGCAGACACCACTGAAATCAGAATTTCGCCAAATAAAGAAAATTTCAAACTTGTAGTGAAAAAGATCCCGAACATAACTGAAATGGCTATGGTTTGGGTAATTGATGCATTGTGCGACAAAACTTTACCACGGACCATTCTCTACTGCAGTTCCATTAAGGATGCTTCCAACCTGTATTCCTACATTATTGCAGAACTTCCACAGTGTGCCGAGGTGCAGATGTTTCATTCAGAGACACCTGAGGACATCAAAACAGAAATTTTGAATGAACTTTCAGACGAAGAAAGCACAACAAGACTTGTGATAGCCACAAGTGCATTAGGCATGGGAGAAGACATACTTAAATATTCAAATGTCATCCTATATGGTGCCCCAAAAAGCATTGTTGACATTGTGCAGGAAATTGGGAGAGTGGGTCGTGATGGGATGGAAGCTGTAGCACTTTTGCTACACAATTCTTATCATCTGAGATCAGTTGATAGTGAGGTGAAGGACTTTTTCACAACAACAGAATGTAGACGTTTATCAATGTTGGCACCATTTCTATCAGAAGGTGAACTTTCAGAACAAAAGAAAAAGACAAGATCACATTCATGCTGTGATCTGTGTGCTGACAAATGTGACTGTGGATCTTGTGATTTGAATCCTTTGGAAAAACTTTTCAACGTTGATATTGAGGAATTAAGTGACTTTAGTGATCAGAATTCATCAGACACTGAATGCTATTATAGTTCTCGCGAGGAAGACAACCTTGACACTCATTTTTCCGATTAAGTACAAAGAATTGCTAAGATATGTGTTATGTATTAAATCAGGCTTGTAGAATGCAAAAGGGGGGGGGGTGTTACAATGAGTGTGAATGTACAAAGGAGAAGGCTCGGACACTTTCTTGAACTGTCTACAAGTTAAGGTGACAGTGAACACTGAACCAGAATAAAACAATAACTTTTGTACTGTTTCATTTTTGTGTTTACTTAATATATTTTCTACACTTAAGGACAAGAGTTACAGATAAACTTAAAAAATATATGTTTGTATTATTGAAAAAAAAAATTACCAAAAAAAGGTTTATTTTTCCTTCAAAGTACCTCAATAATTTCCAATAGTGATTTTTAAAAAAGCACTGGTAAAATAAAAAATTGGAACATTGTAAAAGACCTTAAAAAATTATACTATTTAGAGACAGATGATATGACCTTCATTTAAAACCAAAATCGATCTATGCATAATTTTTTGTGTGTGTAGCATGTGTCCTTAATATTCACCATTTTTTAATCATGCAGCTTTAGATACTAGTAATTGGAAAACCCTTTAGCTTTACAATATAGAAACAACAATCTGATAGATATCTCATCTTTATTTTACAATTTTGACTATTGTAACACAAAACTTATCATAATCTTTTTTTTTTTAGTTATTATTAAGAATTGTTCAAAAGGAAAAAGGTCCAAAATAAATTCTATTTTTTAAACAATTCTAAAAGTGTTTAACATTTCTTGAATCTGTACTCGAGAACTTGCATACATAAATATTGCATACATTATGGCTTCATATGAGATTTTGTAATTGTACACATTTCTAAAATAGATCTGTACATAAAAAAAAATTAATGGTTTATGGCCATAACGGATATATAAGGACCCTTTATACACCAATGAAACATATTTTTGGGACATTGAGAAATCTTTGTTGTATAAATAGTCATTTATACCAAGGAAAAAATTATCAAAAATGAAAGTATTGATTAATACAAATTTCTAATGCTTATGTAATACATGTAAAATATGGTATCCTTATAAAAATTACATATAAAACTTTAAAGAATTGCAATTAAGTCAGAATGAATGGATAACTCCCAAGATGTTTATGGATAACAAAATAAAGTATATAGAATATCATGTATCATTACACAAAAAAACTGTTTCTCGTTTTATAGCATAGTGTGGTCACATAATCTACTGAAAGTACTGTATATAGGGAAATTTTCACCCCAGTTTTATTTTCGCCCCTTTCGCCCTAGACACAAGTGGGCAAATTTAAGAAGGGACGAATTCAAAGAAAAAGTATAACTGTGAATGGGGGAAATTAAAACGGGGCAAAATTGTTAGCAAGTGTGAAAAGGCGAAAATAACACGGGGCGAAAATATCCCAGTAAGTTGTACCTAAACAGTTTTGTTTCTCAAACGATGGAATGCAACAAGAGGTGTGTGTCTATGTACACGAGTAGCAAACCCTTTAAAACAATCATCAAATATGTTTTTGTTTGTACACAAAGACTTGCATTTTAACTTCCTTCCATCTACAAATGAAAATGCATTAATGTCTTGTAATTCAATCAAAATTTTTTGCACATCTTGTTCGTAAGATGGAAGATTGTGAAATCCTTTTCTGGCCGCAACACTACAAAATGTATCAAAATGCTTTACAAAATTTACAATGTGAGGAAACTCTTTTGAGTGTCGCAGGATACTCTCTTTTGTTTGGTAACCAGAACAAACAATTTTACTGTCCCTGTTTAATAACTCGACATATTCATCTAGGGCAATGTTATTGTTTTTCCCGCCTTGTAAGTTTACACACCTATTGGCAATAAGCCTTTCCTTTTGTTCATTATCCAATATACCTTCTGTTAAAGAAAAGATGGATTGATCCAATAGCATACTTAGTTTTGTTTGTTTTAACATAGATTGGTAGCTCATATTTTGCTGACCTCACACTACGGTGTCCATCAGCCATGTCAACTGCTGAGTCTAAATTCTTGTGAAGCATAGCAAGTTTAAATAGCAGTTGACAATAACTTCCCACTTCATCTTTCACTTTTTCAATTGATTTTTTTGTCTCAGGTGTTTTTGCTCCATGAATTTTTTCTTCATGCACTTTCAGAGAACCAACACATGTGTATGATTTTGGACAGAAATGGCAATGTACTCTTCCATTTTCAAGATTGGAAAGATAATAATTTTCAGGATGAGCAATGTCTGTTATGATATCTCAAAGGTCTCTCATAATGTCTGTTTGTGACCCAAAGAAGTATTCTTGCAAAATCTCCTGACATATTCCATTCAGCCAACCAATCTTTTCATCAGATGAGAAGTTTTGAAAGTTATCTGGCATTGGAATTTCTTCATCAGCAGTCTTGTCAAACTTTTGGAAAAACAAGAGACAGCACATTGCATCCAAAATGGTATAGTAGAGAAATTTGTATGGCCGATAAGCATTTCTAACTTCTCCCTTTACATTTGTGGAATTTAATAAATTTCTAAAGTAGTAAGCAGTCCCCCTATCACCTCCTGACCCTGTGCTATAGGTGAGTTTGCAGATTGCCTGAATGAAAATGAAAACTGATTAAGTAACTTTAAAAACAACATAGAACTTAACTTGTTTCAGTGATGCAGATCTCCCAAAAATTGATTGGGACAGTCTCTGTTAATATATCTGATACAAAAAAAAAATGAAGGCCTACATTAAAGCAGATAGATTGTACATTTACACTTTCAATATTCAGTTCTGAATGGTAGGCAATCATAAAACATAAAAGCAAGTTTTTGTAACACCTTTAAAAATTGTCTATAGATAGAAATCTACAATTTAAACACAGTTTACTATTATTTAGTCTCAAATCTGTAAAAGGTCAGACCCACATTATCATGCTTCAATTAATGCTTGAGTCAATAAATGTTTAATAATCTTGTAATGTACAGTAGCAAGTACATGTACCTCCAAGAAATTCACGAGACGGTGAAAATCTTCTATTTTAGAGATAAATCCTTCAAGTCTTGATTCAGCTGTCTCCCCATTCAGAACGGATTGTTGCGCACCTTGTACACGTTCATCTGTTAGTCTATCACCTTAAGAAGAAAATAGTTCATCAAATTTCCCTGTAATATCACAATCTTGGTCTAGTAAAACTTTCAAATTATGCAAGTAGTTTAACAATTCAATAAAACAAAATTTCATTAATAAAATTACAGTGTTTTTCAAAAATTTTATAGGAAATATGAAAACATATGTCTTACCACCAAAAAAAAAACAGATTCTAATATTTCACCATTTTGGAATGGAACATATTTAGATTGCATATCCCTAAGTAGCTGTATCATATCAGCTGTTTTTGTTTCATTGGTGTCAAATAATCCTAATGGATACTGAAAATAGAAGTTAGAACAATATACAAATTATCCATGATGATGTACATTCCTTTATAAAAAGTATCATCAAAAATAGTACCTGTTTTGTTTTTTCTCCTGCTTGTGCACTATACTGATGGGTGAGATGTACACGATAAATTTTTTCAAATTCTACTTTCATCTGAGGAACATTCTGGATCACTGAGCTCGCAAAGAGGAAAATCAGTTCATCCATTAACATACCCTGCTCCTCGATCGACGGAATAAATTTCTCTTTATCTATTGATGTGTCTGTTTCCTGGTCTTCTCCATTTCCCATGGGTGCACAAGTAGGGATTATCCTATCTACCACCACAACTATATTGAACAGGTGAAGAGATAAAGTTTTCTGTTGCGATGTCCTGAAAATAAGACATGGTATTAAAAAAATGTTGACGTAGTCTGAAAAACCTTCACCCAATGCCTGTATTCTTTCCAGGTGTCACCTATAGTGACAAAAACTACTGAAAGGAACACCTGTTGTGGCTTTTCTGTGTAAATTTAACAAAAATATTAATTAAAGAATACTTAAAGTTAAGAACATCTAATACCTAAAGGCTGGGATAATGTTCTTGTCCCAGTTGTCTCCAACCAACTGGTACTTCACATGCCCTCCCTCAGCCCATTCCTTCCTTAACTGAATAATTTCTTCATCCAGTTTATCAATCCAGGATGCTAATTTGTTGTGTACAGATCCAGGGCTGACACAAAGACCAATTTTGGCTAGCCTTTGGATATCCTAGAAGGAAATGACATATATTGGTGGCATTGCATAAAAGAAATAATTTAATAGTTCATGCTTGATTCAGTTAATATCATTATTGTCACAGTAAAACATGATTATAGCAAACAACCTTATAATGAATTCACAGCCCAGTGATTTCCGTTGTTTTTAAACTTTTTGTGAACTAACCGATATAATAATTTATGTTTATAGCAAATCAAAATTGTTTGTCTCTGGTGCTTTGCTGTATTATCAAATATATTATCCTTTGGGTACATCCACCATGGACAAGCATAAATGCAATGCAGTAATGCAGCCAAGACATTTCCTGACTACGACCATGCCATCCAGTTGCAACTGTGTGTAAAATGTGCATGAATTTCTTTTCTGTTGGTGCTACTGGTACATCACATACAACTGCAATGATCACTTTCAAAACATTGGGGGCTCTAAGTTCCAATTCCTTATGAAATTTATCCCATGTGAAAGACATCAAGCTGTCATGGTCCTTTTTCTGTAAGATTGACCCTGAATTCCTTCTGCAAATTTCTTTGGACTCTGTACAACCTTAGCTGCTGCAGTCGCAACATCATCTGGGTTGGAGAGGGTCAGCACTTCCAGCACAGTTTTTTCAACATTAAGTGATTTAAAAATAGCTTTGCATAATTTCTGATGAATCTCATTCACAATTAGGGCTGTCCTCTTTCCACTTGGATAGGATATTGTCATCTAATTTATCCAAGAAAAGCAGTTTACATTAAATGTGTACACAACATATATGCATGCAAAAATCAATGCATTAACAGTTTTGATTACTTACAAAATCAATCATTACTGAACTGAACATTATAGATCATGATAAATATTTTTATATGTAAAATTATATTTGAAAAATAAGAAATATTTGAAGCTAGTGTGGCCATTCTTAATGATAAATGTCAGAAACACAAAAGTTTTTTTAAAAAATTTTGAATTAAATAAGTACATGTAACTGTCAGAATAGATATATGTGGTTGCGCAGTTGGCCAGTTTCCCTTATGAAACATGCCAAATATGCCTTGCATGAAGTATATGAATGTACCAACCTTGTTAGAATTATTTTACAAGATTATCCAGACTTGAATTTATAACATAATTTTTGTTGGTAATTCATTAGAACTGCTTAACTTTAGGAGAGAATGGTAGATTTTCATGCTCCCAAGATCTTCAATTTGAAATGCTTTAACAACATGTAATCAGGTAAATAAATATGTATAATTATATATTAATGTAATTACCTGATCCTCTTCCAGTGTGGTCATCTGAACCAAATATTAAAAATAAATGAACCTGAAATTTTGAAGATAACAAGTATAGCATGCAAAACAATAAATATTAACATGATTTAACAACAGTAACAAAAAATATATGAAATAGTTAAAAAAATCAAGTGAAGTGTAACAGGGAGGAAACTATGTCTGTCAGACTGTAACTGGGGCCTTATTTTAACAAGTGAATTATCACTTATAGTTTTTATAGTATTTGTCAATTCATACTATTGCCTGTTACACTTGCACATCTTTTAAACTACTTGGAAACAGTAATAGAAAACAATTCATATAAATTGAGGAACACTGTAGAACAATATGATCAGATGTGTGACATCAATTGATATATAGGTCTAAATTTTTCACTGTTCATTGGACAAAACAAAATGTTACTGAAGTCTCACATCTAATGTCGCCCATCTAATGTGAATTTTAATAATCATGATCAAGACGTAACCGTATGATCATATTGTTACCTAAATTGTAAAGAAAATGATTGAATACCAAAAAAGTGTGTAACGTAAAGGATAAAAATTCAATGTACAGCATATCTCTACTTCTCCTTGTAAGGTTGTATGAGTTTCACTAGGCCTATTGGTGAAGGAAGTTCCGAGTGATCTCCGGACTGGTGGCTTTACTTGCTTGGCGACAGGTAGTCCTCCTCTATTTGTAAGGTCAGAGAAGGGTAGAATACTGATGGGCTGAACACAAGTAATTGGTAGGAGGGAGGCCACTTTCTTGGTCGGTTGCCGAATAATAGGGCTACGTAACATTCTTTTAGTTATCACCGAACGTTTCGGTGACGGAAGAGAAAGTAAAAAATTCTCTTTTACGTTCTCTGCTGAGTATTTTAATTTACATTTCAGTTCGGATACTTCTTTTTCCATTTTACTGAGCCTCTCAACGGTCCGGAAACACTTCTGACATACACCTGTTTCACAACAGGATCACAGACCTCAACCCCAAGCGAACTATTGATAATTTTTTTTCGTTCTTCTGTTAATTTAAACTTTTTATCGAAAAACTTCTGTGTAATCTCTTTCCCATTTGAGTCTATAAACGTGTGAATAAAAGAAAATCCACATATAATGCATATATTCCCCAGACTTAACGTTTTTCTGGGAGTAGCCATGCCACTCGACTGAGCAGCCATCTTTGTTATCGTAAACATTAACGCGAAGAATCATGGGAAATCTTCCATTAGACGAATCTCGCCAGCGGCAATTTGATTGGCTTGTGGAAAGGTCGTTCGGACGTGACCTCCAAACGAGTTGATTCAGATGTTCGTAAGCGGTAGCGTATCAGAACAGCTGATTTTAATCAGATTGGTTGGGACAGAGTCCTCGGATGAAGTGAACAAAACGCCTCATATGAAGAGGAGGAGTCTTGTTCAATGTGAAGAGTGCCAACTGTTCTTCTCGGACATGGGCATTTTTGCTGTAAGAATGGTAAGTATGACTGAGAATGACTTTTAAATGAGATCTTTTTATGCACTGTTCTCGGTTAAAATTCAAAACTTTGACAGGCTTTCTTTTCAATTTTTTTTTAATTCAAGTTTTGCCCATTTATGTTAAAAAGTCAATGAATTTTTTAAGTTTTCCAAGACAATGAAAGACAATCATACTAAAGGCATTTTTAGTCTATTAAGGGGTTTATTTCCTTATCGAATTGTTTAATCAGACTACCAACTGAAATAAAATTGAAGTCAAAGATCTGTCATGTTTATGATACGGAGATTTTCAAATTTACCCTTTCATACAGTTCCTTAGCATAGTGAAACTTGTACCTTTAAGATAATTATGATCATAAATGTTAAAGGGCCTGTCACATCTGAAATCACTGATGTACAGGGAGAAACCGATGACTAACCCGATATTCCTGCCACTACAGAAAATAGAGAGGGGGATGGGTTTTGGTCTAAATCCCCAACACTCTTGCTACTAAAAGAGTATAAGAACCATAAAAATGCCCTTGAAACTGGTGTAGACTGAGAAAAGTAGCTCAGTGGTCAAAACTCTCAGGGAAGCTGAGAGAACAAGGTTATAGATAGTCGGAGATGCAAGTGAGTGGCCGGTGGAAGACCCTTGTTTGCTTGTACAAAAAGACCAAGGACCATAATGGCAAGCCTGATGTGTAGAGAAAATATGGGAATTGTAAAATTTTATCATCAATTATCATTGAGAAATGCATTTTTTTTCATTGATAGCACAAAATAGTATGTGTATTCATTTTTCAGGAAATGTCAAGAAGGACTTTCCATTCTTCTATAAAATGGAGGATATCCTTGGCAAAGACTATGCAGTTACTCCAATGTGTCTTCTGTCTAGTGCTTCAACATCAACAGATAAAACTTCTGAAGAAATCCAACCCACTCCTTGTAAGAGAAAGCATGAATCAGATTCCGATGTAGAGAATAGTACAGCTTCATCATCATGTACAAGTCAAAAGAAAAAGCAACAAACACAGTCATCAGAAGTTATTGAGTTTTTAAGCACATGTGAGCAGAAACAAGAGGAGAGATACAAGAAGGAAATGGAGCAGTGAGAAAAAATGCACACTGAAAAAATGGCAATGTTTAATGCCCTTATTGAAACAATGAAAAAGTACATTATTATCAATATTTCAATTCTTACATTTCCTGACGAAATTAAAAAAAAAAAAGCGGATGTGTCACAAAAATTTTCTTTGTGCATAAAACTAGTGTTTGTTGATGCTAGACTTTAAAATGTATATTTAAAGATAATTTATCTCTTTAAATTGAATTTTTGTATTTACAGATGACTTGGATGTGCCATTTCGAGAGTCTACAATTTGTTAAGAGAAATGAAATATATGGAGATAACGTACAGTATTCAAGCTCAAAAGTCCATTAAACATATGGATTGTGTTATCTTGGATTGTAGCCATCTGTACTGCTACTCCGAATGTGCCAATCAAATAAAGGAATATTCCATCTGTTGAGGAAAGCTGTCAAAATTTTTAAAGCATAGATATATACCAAGAGAAATATTTGCTCTGTAATTCATTTTTTGTCTAATTCAATGAAACTATGTTCTTAAACTAAGCCATACAAAGGCATTGAAATTTAAGGAGGCTGGGGGGTCAACAAATTAACCATCAGATATAACTTAATTTTTTAGATATATCTTAAGCTGTCAACTATCATTTGGCAAACAAAAATTTCATACATTTTAGTTTTAAAATTTGATCATTTTTGTATATTTTTATATGGAGCTCTTCTTCTAAAGGAGATCAGTATAGTGTGAAAATGGCCAAAACCACCCAGCCCTCTTAATGTTGGAATTACTATCATATATGAATTTTTATACACCCATCTCGCCATATAACGCTGTCCACATCTTGATATGTTTTAGGATAGGCTCTTAAAGTTGATAATATGTTGTGACATTAATTTTTTTCTTAAGATTGTGCAAGTATGACTGTCCATTATCCAAAGGAAACTTGCCTTCATTTCTTTTATCATATTGTGAATGCTTATGTATGACAGGTGTACTTTTGTGTACATATTGTTCCTGATTCTAGTCAAATAAACTCAAAAAGGTCTGAATTCTTGTCATTTTATTTAACTTATTAAGGGAAGATTTCACAATATTTGACAAGATTGCAATTTCTATCAATCAGTGTTGCTCTTAAGGCTGGGAACCACTCCATGGAGTTTTTTGTTTTAGCATACTTTACCATACATTGTACTTAAATACCTGTTATTTTGTGAAATTTAAAAAAAGTGAATCACTGCATTTCCCGAGAGAAATATTTTTTTTTGATATTTAAAGGTTAAATAACAAAGATTTGATATATTAAGTTTTCAATAGTTTGGTACATTTTGCAATCTACTCAATTGATCTCAGAGTTGTTCTGGATTTTTTTTAAAATACTAGTTGATTTTTTGTTTTGAAAAAAAAAAAGTGAAATAATAATTGGTGCTTTTTTGAAAAATAAAACTGAAATCATTATTGGTATTTCTTATTATTTGATGAAATCCAACAACTTAAAATGAATACATTGAATTTATTGTCAGAAAGATTTGCATATTTCAATAAGTAGCAGTATTCAAGGTCATACTTTTAACGTGGCAAATTGCAAGTAATTATAGCACGATTTACAACTCCTTCATTTTATTTGCATTTCTCTGTACAAACAAAATCGGGTTTTGCAATCTGTTATTGTCAAGTCAACCTCTACGAATTCTTCAATAGAGTCGGAATTCAAAAAACAAATGTTGTGAAATACACAGCCTAACAATTTTCAATGCAGTTTCCACTTCAGCATTGACTAAATACTGCAGCCTCTTCAATCTTCCCTTTAACAGACCAAAGGATCTTTCAATTGTAACCCTATTAGTAGATAACAACCGATTGAAGTGTTTTTCATCCGGAGTTAAATGGCCATTGTTTCTATAGGGAGTCAGTAACCATCTTTGAATGTGATAGGCTCCATCTGCAACAATATAGCCTTAACCACATTGACTTAAACCAGTTTTCCAAAGATCAGATTTTCGCAGTATTCTCGCATCATGGCATCTTCCAAGAAAGCCAACAAAGCAATGCTTAAATGTCATGTTTTCTCTTCAAACACCTTGTTATTGAAATCCTTTGCCATTTACGTAAGAAACAGCACTTTCTTTTGGGGCACAAATTGGAATGTGGGTCCCATCAAGACATCCAATAAAACCATTCTTCCTTTCAAAATAGATATTTCATTTTGTTCATTTTGATCTGGCCACTTAATAAGTTTTTACATCAAGTGCTCAAGTGTTCCATCTTCAATTTTATTCAGCATCTTCAGAACAGTTGACTCGGACACACCGAATCTGCCTGCAATTCTGTGAACTGTGTCCTGTGAGCCAAGATACCAAAGAGTCATAAGTAGTTGTTTCTTTACTGTGAGTGGTTCTCTTCCCCGATGATGTAAATCCACCTTTAAGCTGGGCATGTCTACAAAGTATCTTACAAATACCCCAAAAAGTCTATAAATTTTTTTTCTAAAATCCTCAGGTCCGTAGTTTCCAACGACATTGTCGACATAGCCCCTCAGCCTTCAAATGAATTATTTCGATATAATACACGTATGTACATTGTGCTATACAGTTTATTTATTATACCTGTATAAAGCATCCATAACCATGCACATCAATACACATTTTTCACTAATCCTTACAAACATCATTTAATTATGGGTGTGAAAACTTTTTTGATCGAAATCCATCTTTTTTTTCAAATGCATATTTACGTTGTTGCTAATAAAGCACCATGTACAATAATATTTGCAAAATTTCCATGGGAACTGCTGCTACCATCATCCAACACTTCCAAACACATCCCTACTGTCGCCATGTTTCAACTCTGTTTTATTCTATTCGTGGAACAGTTGGAATGGTCGAGACTGCGTTCAGAGCGATTCCGGAACTGTAGATTCACACTGGCTACATATACGGATTAAACCAGATTCAACACTCGTCATTGAAGACAACATGTATTTATTGAACCGGAACTAAGAACAAAGACAAGGGTGATATCTCAACATAAAATTAGACATAGAGAAATAGAGTTATCTTTCTTACATGAAACAATTATACAAACACTACCCAGTCGAGTACTTCCCATGTGATAGTGACTGAGTAAACTACGAGTCTCAAGACTTGTAAAGTTGTTCAGTGGAGTGAATGTCATTGTGACTGTTTTTTTCGTACTGGCCACCATTATGTTTGAGTTTTTGTACGTCGTCAAAACTTCTGACAGTTTGTTTTTTTTTCGGCTAGTGTTTTAACGAGTATATTCCCTAAGCATGGTCTATCGCGTTGTCTTTCATGAGTTTTCTGGCATGAAAAAGAGTTTCTGTGCCTTTCCTTGTTAATGCTTCATTTATAAAGATTTTGTAGGTTCATTTTTGTTGAATGACTTAAAGTTATTTTTCTTTGAATAAATGACTGCCAGATCTCTATATGAAAAGAATTTCACAACGATATCACTCCCATAGCGCTTTAAAATCAATTTTTAAAATTGATTCACATATACTGTAATTAATTAACTTGAATAAATTCTCAATCCATCTTTATTTTGAGAAAAAAAGGAATGACAAAATATTTGCAAAATCCCAGACATTGTCTGAAATGTAAGGTGAGGGGACGTTGAATGTTGCCTTGGTCTCCACGATTGTTATCGTTTTTAAGTGGTCTGCCCAACCTGTGGGATCTGCTGATGCGATCGAGACCTATCTTTGCGTCTTGTGTGTCAAGAACATACTTGTTAATTACATTCAGGATAATTTGGTCTTATTTTCGTCTGCATTCTCGAGGATT